AAATAAATGGATTTAATGAAAAATATTTTTATATACCAAATAATCTCAATAAAATTTGATAAAAACAGAATATCACTAACTTCTCATCAGAAACAATGCAGGCCAGAAGATAATGAAATAATATCTTTCCTGTATCAAAAGAAAATTATTTTAAATGCAAATAAACAATCTTTCTATACAAAACTGAATTCAACAGGATATTCCTAAAAGTAATACAAATTAATGGCATTTGCTGTCCAAATAAGTATACCCAACCTGAAGCAGTATGCTTCCAGAGGCATGTAGTACAAGAACTGCTCCTTGGGTTACAGGAAATTGGTACTATATAAAAACTAAGAATTGCACAAGGGAATGGAGACTACCACGATTCAGTTGAAACACAACAATGAGGAAAACTTTAGAGAAGTAAATATCACAGTAGCAACAGCTGGGTGGGGGGTGGGGGGAGACTGAAGCAGTAAATAACTGGACTCTTTTAAGAGGATATGTGTATACCAGAGATTGCTGTACACATTCCTTCATATTTGCAGGTCTTCAGGGTTTAGGTTAATCCATGATTCAAGTAAATGTTTGAGAATAGCACCTTTATTCAAAAAAGATCTCACATGTGTTACGTGCATGTGTGAAAATGTCAAAAAGAATACTCTTACCCTATACAATCAGTATGTGTTAATTATTACAATAAAAATTGCCCATTAGTATTTAATTCTAAAATTGAAATGTTTTAAATATATACACAATCTAACCTATAACCAGGAAGTCCTTCTGTCTAAATTCTGTGCAACTGCAATGGAATGTTAATATGGAACCTTGTTACTACAGTATGGATTATCTCCTGACATTGAATTTCTGTAAAGGAGTGAAAGCAAAAGCTATCAAAGGCCAGAGATAGAGTTAAATATTCTTTTATTAATAGAGAAGTAAGAAAAAAATGGGAACATATGCCGCAGTCTGGCTGGGCACAAATCACGAGCCACTGAAGCAGGAACAAACTTTATTTTTAAACTGCAGGAAAACACTTCACACAGCTCCCGGGGAATCCTCCCTAACGCCACAAGGCTTGTCCAGGAACCCCCAGCCGGAAATATCTCTCCCGGAAATCCCTCCTCCTGCACTTCCCCAACCAATGGGAGCTCTCGGGGAATCCCTGGAAATCCCCATGAGAACTCCAAAATAGTGTGAGAACTCAAAAGTACTCCAAAATAGTGCGAGAACTCAAAAGTTGCGGCAGAGGCAGATAGTAATGCCTCGCCTGTCAATCAATACTGTTGGCAAAATGCCAGGGGCCATACAGACTCCACCGTGGCTCTCAGCAAACATACTCAACATGTATTTAGAAATTTGAGATATTACAAGTTGGAAATGAAAATAACAAAAATTCTGTTGTTAATACTGCTCAATACCCTGAATTATTGTTTTTTTGTTGCTGTGATATAATTCATTACACTTGTCATTTTATGTTGTTGAGAAATAACTGAGTCATTTTATTATTTGTGTTGGATTTTAAAAGGACTTTACTTGAGTAACCATAGAAGGTCATGTGAGTACAATTTATTTTTCCCATTGAATTGACAATAACATGCAGTGATGCCATTTCTATGATCCAGTGGAGGTGATTTTCCATTGTTTCTTGTGCTTAAAAATCAATACATTATAACTTATCATATCGATTATGTATGTTTTGCTTCTATTCTTTCACTTTTAAGAATATGGTCCTGGAAGCTTTCACTGACCAGATTACTGTAAATTAACTAAATTCAAGGAAATGTGCCGCAGTCTGGCTGGACACAAATGCCGCAGTCTGGCTGGGCACACAATCACGAGCCACCACACAGCTTGTAGATTCAAACAGCAACTCTTTATTCCCGCACTCACACCAGCCGTCTACAATCACATTCTGGGGAAATCCACGTTCTCTGCCCAAATCCACCTCCACTGAGAACTCAAGGGGAACTCAGGCAGCAGGATACGCCCTATTCCTAGCAGGAATAATCTTAAACCTGGAACGCCCTAAACCCGATTATCCTAAACCGGGAACACCCTAATCCGCCCTGGTCCTTGAGCAAGGTCACCTACATTCAATGTCACTGCAACATGGGGTACGCTGGCAAGGAAATTGTCATACCTACTTGGCTAATGGCTCCCAGCAGAAATGTTTTCATACACTAAAAATTACCTAAGAAGCACATGCTTCAAGTGTTTCAAGTTTAGTATTCAGGCTCAGTGTTTCTGGGTTTGAGTTTCACTCACTTTTTACAAAACTAAATTTCAATATTTCAAGTGAAAAAGACAACATGGGAATTTCTTTTGAGGCCAAATAATACAACCTGAACAAGACTGCCAGAAGTTAATATGTGAGAGAACTGGAGAATTTTTAGGCTATTAAAACTTGATAAATGTAAGAATTTTGAATTCCCTCAAATTTAAAGGCTAATGGCTATGGAAAAATTTTTTTGCCACTTTTCAAAAGTCAAGGTGAATAAATTAATATTTATTTTTAATCATATGTAAATGAAATTGAATAACAGAATTCTAAGTATTTCAATAGAGTAATCATGGATTCATTTACATTTTAGGGCACTTTTTTATATCTCTCTGATAGTTTTATATTTATTTAAAAAGCCAAAACTTTCTCCTTTGCCTGATGCTCATAAATAACAAGGATTTTAATGAATAGTGAAAATTATCTACTTAAATATGCACATATTTTAGGCTATTGCTGATCTATGTTAAAATAAAATTCAAACATTCATAATCATACTATCATTAAAAGCATTTTGTGACCATTAAACTAAATGTTTTTTTTTTTTTTTATTAGTAAACTGTAATAATTTACGTTTGTGATGTTTTAGGAGAGGAAAACACAAACTTCATTTTAAAAAGTAGATTTATTCATAATCTTTATGGTTAAAGGGAAAAATTAAACTTTAAAATAAAAAATTATTACTCAACCCCACAAAAAACTTTTAGCCAACAATTGCAAATTTTAAGAACCAAATGTTTCTGTGTTGCTTTTATCAACTTGATTTCTGTAAACAACTTACTACATGAAATTTTGTGTTTTTTTCCTAGTTTAGTCATTTTGACATTTGACAGAGCATTTCTAGTTTAGAGGGTTTGCAGACATTTGAGCCTATATCTGGAAGAACAAAAAAATCGGACTTATAAAATTGAGAATATTAAGTAAATAAATAAAATATATTCATCCCAAATTTTCTAAACAAGACAAAGGCTTCATTCTATTATTTATATATTTATAATATTATACTTGATGAGAAATGAAGTCCTAATAATGCACAAAGCATATAGATTTAATTCAAAAATCAAGTTAAACTCTTTGTTTTCAAACATATTAGTTTAGTGTTTGCCCTTGTCATAATTTGGTCCATCTTAACTTGAAATTTTTAATAATATACAGAACACATCAGAAACTAAAATAAATACTCATTTTAACTTTATTCTGAGTCATGCCTCTTTTAATTTGTCTTTTTCACATAAATATGCATTGACTTGTAATTACTTGTATAGTGTTTATGTTCACAATGAATACAATGGAAAACCATGTCTATTCATCTTTACAAGGTTATTTTCATCAACCAAAATGAATGCTTTCCAGTGTCCTTATTTTCTTTGTGCTCTTGTCCTTCCAGAATCCTCTAATATTATTTTTTTGTCCCAATTATTCCTAAAGAATAAAGTTCATACAAGGAAACAGGAATCACAAATATTTTGTGTCTTTCTCTGTGCTTCCATTGGCTCCTGTAAGAGTAATTCATGATGTTTTGATGGCTGGAAATAGGAAAAAAAATCACTGGTTTCTGAAAGAATAAAGGACAAGGAACAGAGTGAAAATTATGGGAGACTTGTCATGTCATACCTTGATAAGAAAAATGAGTGTATCAGCTTTTCTTCTCTATTTTTCATTGATAATTCACTGTATATATGAGACTTTTTCTTTATCCTAATATTAGTGACTTTGTGCTGTCATACAGTTCTAAAATGTATAAGCTCCTAGTAAATACTGGCTAACAATGTGGTATTATTCCATAGTAATTTTGAAGCATACTTTATTTTGAATATTTGAGGTCTACATGATGTTATGATGCACAGTGGATGTAAATGTTAACTGAACATCAAGCATCACACGCAGTTACCCTCTTTTTGTGTGTAAGTGCAGCTAAAATCTGTTCCTTTAGCAAAAGTCCTGAATACAATATGATATTATTAACCATAGTCCTCCTGTTCATTAGATCTCTAGACTCTATTCTGCTACTCTTATGTCCTTTTTCCTACATCAACCCCTTTCTTTCCTTTCCCCGCTCAGCCATTCCTCTTGTAACCAAAGATATATTCTCTGAATTTGACATTAAAAAAAAAAAAGAATCCACATGTGAAATCATGTAAAATTTTTCTTTTTGTGTATGGCTTATTTCACTTTGTATATTATCCCACAAGTTTATTCATGTTGTAGCAAAAGTTAGAAACTTCATCTTTTTAAGGCTCAACAATATCCTAATTGTGTGCATGTGAGTGTGTGTGTGTGTGTGTGTGTGTGTGTGTGTATGATTGATTATTCATTCTCCCATGTTCACTGAAACATTATCCACAATAACCAAGATATGGAAAATCTTCTAATATTTTGGTTGACTTTTTTACTTTCTTTTTTGCCCTCCTGGGAGTTGAACTCAGGGTAACTCTCCCATTGAGCTACATCCCAAGCCCTTTATTTATGTATATTTATTTATTATTTTGAGATAAGGTCTTGCTAAATTGTTGATACTGGTCTCAAATCCTATCTCAGCCTTCTGATTGCTGGGCTTATAGGCACACCGTGCCCAGTTTGGGTTAATATTTATAGATTTGAATTACGGTACTACCAATATGTTGAATAGATCATTTCAGCCCTGAGATCCAATTTCACATTCTGACCAGTTTGCAGTAAAAACAATACATTAAAGATTATATTTTATTCTTTCTCTTGCTCTTTATGTCTCTCTCAGATTTTTGGACCAGTTGAAAATTTTATTGGCTGCATACAAGTTGTGGAAATCAATAACCAGGGAACTTTCATTCCATCCAAGGCAGTGAAAAAAAATCACATTGAGAACTGCAGGTAAAACCTCACTAGTGATTTTCAAATGATTTATTTTAGAGTGATCCCACTAAAAGGTACCATTTCTAATTGACATTATCTGATCAGAACTGGAATATATTTCCTTTCTTTTGTTTTCCTTTATCCAGTATCTTACAGACTGTAGAATTTTTAAAATAATTCCCAGTGAAGATGGAGCACTTGTTTATGATAGGTGTCCACTTTGTACTGAATAAGATGCTTCATATTGACAAACAAATGATCAGTGTGTTGTGGTTAGAAAACATCTATTAGAGCTACTTTTAAGAATGAACAGTCAAACATGCAAAATATTTTTTAGAATGATAAAATGATACTTTTCTCCAAAATATATATCTCAAAAGTTGCCTTTGTGCTTCAATTTTCATTACTAGTATCATATTCCTTACAAACAGTTAGAAGCTGGAGTGAACTAAAGAGCACATTTGAGAACGAATCAGGCATTAATGCATTAATGAAGTAGACAGAATATTACTTTTCCCTGATAGTTAAGAGCAAAAGGTCATTTCTGTAGGTTTGTGTTTATTGGAAAAGGTACCATTTCCAATGGAAATTATCTGACTACATAGAGTAGGTAATTATCAGGCCATGAGAAATTTGCATACATGAGTATATTAAAATGATATAATGGGATACTGGGTGCCTTTTGACTATTTTGTTTTTATTTGTTTTAAATCAAATGAAACATAATAGTTGGGCTGGGGTTGTGCTTCAGTGGGCAGAGCACTTGCCTCACATATGTGAGGCATTGGGTTCTATCCTCAGCACCACATAGAAATAAACAAACAAAATTAAGATTTGTGTCCATCTATAACTAAAAAAAAAGAAACATAATAGTTTATACTATAAACAGGATGATCCTGGCAATTTTAATATAATCAGATACTTGTAAATTCTTATATTTTACCATTTTGTTTCCGATTTTCTGTGGAAAACATGTTCTTTGATATTTTATTAGCATTCCCTAACATTGACTAAACTCTCAGTTTCTATGTTCCCTGCCTTCTCTGTCAAATGCTATGATATATATTCATCTTGCATAACTGGAATTTTGCACCTATTGAACAGCAGCACCCCACTTTTCCTTCCCTCTGGCTCTGGAAACCACCCCCCTACTCTGTTTCTATGAGCATGGCTATTTTTACATTCCTCATATAAGTGGGGTTAATGCAGCATTTGTTTTCCTGTTTCCAGCTCACTTCACTTGGCACAGTGTCATCCAGATTCATCCATGTTTTAGCATATGTCAGAATTCCCTTCCTTTAAAGGTCTATAGTATTCTACTGTGTGCATAAACCACATTGTCCTCATCCATTTTTCAGTGTACACTTGCGTTGTTTTCACATTTTAACTATTGTGAATGACATTGTTTTTGAACATAGATGTTCAAATATCTCTTCATGATTTTACTTTATGGTTTGGGGTAGACTGGGGTGGAATTGCTCTATCATATAATAATTCTGTGTTTAGTTATTTAAACAATAGCCATACCGCTTTCCACAGTAGCTTTACCATTTTATAATCCCACCAATAATGCACAAGTGTTCCAGCCTCTCATCCTTATCAACTCTTTTTATAGTAACTATTTTAATGGTGATGAAGTAGAAAATCTTAGTTGGAATTTCCCTAATGATTTGTAATATTAATCATCTTTTCACATATATATTGGCTGCCCATAAATCTTCTCTTGAGAAAGGTTTAGTCAAGCCTTTAGTTTATTTTTCCAATTAGGCTGTTTGTATTTTGTCAACTTTTAAGAGTTCACTGTATATTCTGGTTAATAATACCATATCAGATATATGATTATTTTCTTTCATTTCATATGGTGTATTTTTACTCTATTGATAATAAATTTTGCTGTACATTTTTTAAAATTTTCACAAAGTCCAGGAATTTTCATTCCTGTCATTGTTACCTCTAATGATTGGTGTCATATCCAAGAAAGCACTGTCAAGTTCAATGTTGTGAAGTTTTTGCTCCATGTTTACATCTAAGAGCTTTAAAGTTTTAAGGCTTACACTTAGGTCTTTCATCTATATTGAATTAAGAGACCCACTTCATTCTTTTGTAGTTTTTCCAGCACTCTTTGTTTAAAAAACTGCTATTTTCCCCCATTTAATGATCTTGGCACTCTGGTCAAAAACATACATGCAAAAGTTTATTTCTCAGCTCTCTATTATCCTGTACTGAACTACCTTGGCCTTTATTCCATTACAAAATAGTTTAATTATTAAAGCACTGTAGTATGGTTTGAAATCAGAAAGTATGAGACATGCATCTTTATTTTTCAAGACTGTCTTGGTTGTTCAATCTCTAGTGATTCCATGTGAATTTGAGGAGTTGTTTTCTATTTCTGAAGAAAGATCATTGTGCTTTTGCTAATTGCATTGAATCTGTGGGTCACTTTGAATAGGATTAATAGCTTTATAATATTAGGTCTTCCAATTAATGAATGTGAGATGTGGTTTCACTTATATTATTTTCAATTTCTCATCAATATTCTGTAATTTTATTGTATAAAACTGTCACTTCCTTGGTTAATTTTTTCAGCAATTTATTTGTTTTGGTGCTATTATACATAGAATATTTTTATCATTGCCTTTACATGTTGTTTATTTCTAGTATACAGAAATGCAACTGTGTATTTTGTATTCTGCTATTTGGCTAATATTTCTAGTCTCTGTGTTTGTGAGTATGTGTGTGATAGATCCTTGATATTTCCTATGCATAAAATTATATTACCTATGAAAGAAATTATTTCACTTCTTCCTTTTTTTGATCTGTATGCCCTTTATTTCTTTTTCTTGACTAGTTATTTTGGCTAGAACTTCCAGTACTGTGTTGAAGAAAAGTGGTGAAAGCAAGTATTTTGCCTTGTTCCTGATCTTAACAGAAAAGCTTTCAAACTTCCACCATTGAGTATATGGTTATGCACATTATATCATGTTGTGGCAGTTTCCTTCCTTCCTAGTTTGTTGAGTGTTCTCATCATGAAAAAATGATGAATTTTATCAAATGATGGATCATGTGGGTTTTTCTTCATTTCATCAATGTGGTGGATTACACTGATCAACTTTTATATGTTGAAACATCCTCTCATATAAAGAATGAACTGTATTTGATCACCCTGTATAATCTTTCAATTTGATCCTGAATTTAGTTAGCTAATATTTTGTTGAGAATATTTACATGAGTGTTCATAAGAGATTTTGGGTTATAGTTTTCTTACAGTATCTGTGCTCAGTTTTGGTAATCGAGATAATTATAGCCTCATGGAATGAGTTCAGAAGTGTTTACTTTGGTTCAATATTTTGGAAAACTGTCAGAATGATTGGAATTATTTTTTAATTTTGTTAAAAATCACTAATGAAACCATCAAGTCCAAAGTTTCTTTTTCTTGATGTTTTGGGGAGATATTTTTCTACTGATACAATTACCTTACTAGTTATATGTAGTTCTATGTAGAGTTTCTAGTTCTTCGTGATTTAGTCTTGGTAGGTTTTGTGTTTCTACAATTTTGTCCATGTCTCCTAGGTTATCCAATTTTTTGGTATAATAATTTTTTGTATACTTAATAATTCTTTTTATTTAGTATGTTATATGTGAGCCACATGCCCAGCTCTTTTAAATTTTATTTAGAAACAGGGATTCACTAAGTTGCTGGGGCTGGCTTTGAATTTGCAATCCTCCTTCCTCAGCCTCCTGAGCCACTGGGATTATAGGCCTGAGTCACTGTGCCAGACTATTGTATCTGTTTTTGTATGGTTGTTAAGTCTAGTTGCTTTATTGTGTTAAGAACTCTATTTTCTTTCTTGGTTGCTCTACCCACTTTTGAGGGTGGAATCTTGTAGTCTCCAACCACTACTGCAGAATTGTCTGTTATCTCCCTTCAATTCTATCAGTTTTTGCTTCATATACTTTGATGAACTGTCATTATCTAAGTGTTTGTAACTGTTCTGTCTTCCTGATACATTGAAACTTTTAATACTATATAATGTCGTTATTTGTTTATTATTTTCTTTTGATTTGAAGTATATTTTGTTTGACATTCAAATAGCAACTCCTGCTTCCTTTCAGTTATTTGCATGGAGTCACATCTTCCATTGTTTATATATATTATATATATATTCCATTGTTTGCTTTCAAACTATTGGTATATTTGGACCTAAAAAGAATCTTTTAGGGAGTATATATTTGGAGCTGGTGATTTTAGCCGTTTTGCTAATCTCTTACTTTTGACTGCAGAGTTTGTTCCATTAATTTTAAGTTACAGATAAAGAGGAACTTGCTTTTGTTGTTTTGCTATCTGCTTTTTATGACTAATGGGGATTTTACCCCTGCTTTCTTTCACTACTGCCTTCTTCTGTGTTCAGTTGATTCTTAGTGATATATTTAAATGCCTTTTCAGTTTCCATACTTATATATTACTTATATATTCTCTAGCAGTTTTCTTTGAAGTTCCCATGGGAATTACATTGAATAATGTAAAGTTATGATAATCTAATTTGAAATGATGCCATCTTAACATCAATGTCAATTACATTAAAAAAATATTTGCTCCTATTCCAACTCTGTCCCCACACTTTTCAATTGCTTGATGTCACAAAATCATATATTGTGACAAAATCATATATATATATATATATATATATATATATATATATATATATATATATATATTATGTGCCCTAACATAAGCCAGCAATAAACCAGTAAATTTTGAAATGCATAAGACTCTTAAATTATGCAGAAAACAAAATTACAAACCAAAATTATTTTTTTAATTTAATGTTCTCCTAAATCACATAGAAGAACTTACCAATTAATGCTAAAATAGTATGTGTTTTAATCATTTCCTAGGTATTTATACTTATTGACAACTTTATTTCTTCATATGGCTTCCAATTAATAATTTGTATCCTTTCATTTCATTCTGCAAGATTTTCTTGTCCATTTCTCTCAGGGTGGATCTAGTAGAAATA